ATCCCGCAGGCGGTAATACCTGTGTGGGTGGCTGTGTCTCACAGCGTGCCAGCACCATGCGCCCGGCAGCCGGCAGCGTACCCCCGGACGAGGAGCCCCTGATCGAGGAGCCCTTGGCGAGCAGATACAGCCGGCAAAAGCCAAGCGACCGCTTATATGGGGCCTACATCATTTTTTTCCTCCTGGGCATCGGGTCCCTGCTGCCCTGGAATTTTTTCATCACGGCAAAGCACTACTGGATGTACAAGCTGCAAAACTGCTCGGATCACGCGGGCCCGGTGGGGCAGGCGGCATCGGATCTGCGGGTGAGTGCGCTGCTTCCCGGGCAGGAAAAAAAAAAAGCTGATTTCCTGCCTAACTTGCTCTTTTTCCCCCTCCACTTCCCCAGAAGGTGAGCGAACGTCATCTGGGGTTTTGCCTGCTGCAAACCAGCGGCAGAGGTTTATCTGGGGAGCACAAATGGTTGCAGGCAAGATGCTTAAAACTAAAATGTGTACCATGTTGTGATCTCTCTTTTACCTGTATTTGAAGTGCTAAGGTTTAAGGTGCGTGTAAAAAAGTTGGCTTAACTTGCCCCATAAGCAAGGCTGCCTATCATAGGACAGTTTCTACGGCTCAAGGTAAAAATCTGTTGGTGAGGATTTTTGTACTTCATCCTTGATGAGCCCCCGAGCCTTGTGGGGCTCGGTGCTTTTCCAGCCGGATTCAGACACAAATTCCTGCGCGCTGGGAGATGAATTGCCCTGAGCTTCTAGCTCTGTGGTGTGGCATCAGACACCTTTTAGGCATTTTCTCCCTTATGCTGGCCGGTGCAGTATATCATTTGGAGGTGGAGGCAGGGCTTTGTGGAAGCACCAGCCCTGGGGCGCATGGCTTGCCATGGTCTCAGTTTCCCCTGGATGCTTTACTGCTTTTCCTTCCAGATCTGGCAGGTGTGACCGGAGTGTCTCCTTGCAGCGATAAACATCTGGCTTTTGGTGTAGGGGATGAGGAGCTTGTCACAGGGCGATTGATGAGCCAGCCTTGGGGTAGCAGGGCTCTCTTTTTCTCCCCAGAAAAGCCGCCTTCTCTTGCTCCTGCTGCCATGGCAGGATTATTTCCCTATGCCCCCTCACAAAGCAATAGTGTTTCTTTGTGGCTGGAATAAGTGTCGGCGTGATGAGGCTGCGTCCTGTCCTCCTCCTGTTGCCAAGCTTGTTCAAGTGGTTTGGGCACATTTTATTTTTATATAAACACAAAGACAGGTGTGACGCCCACGTTTTCTCTATGATTTCTCACCACCGGTATGGCATCCATGGCTGTTTCATTTTAGTACTTTTTAAGCCAGCTGCTTTTTTGATGCGGAGTAAGCAGAGCTTCACTGGTGGTGCTTGTACCAGGATGCTGAAGTACCAGTGTGCTGGTGTAAATCAAGATACTGGGTGGATTAAACTGATGGAGACAAAGCGCCTGTGGTACCCAAAGATCACAAATGGGTTGCCCCTGTGTTAGCAAGGGTGCTCAGGGATGGGGCGAAGGGTGCTCCGCCACCCTGTGGCATGATGGCCTCCCACATTCCCTGCATCCCACCCACTCCTCATGGCTTCCGCGTCGTGCTTATCCAAGGCAATTATTGAAAAAGTTGTTTTCAAGTAGGGTAAGTATCGCTAGGTGTGTGCTTCCTAAAAGCTCTTGCACAGCTGTATTCCTGGTCAGATCAGCCATCACTGTGTTGAAAAGATGTTTGTTCTCTTTCTGTATGACTCTGGTGCAATGCTTTTTACTTCCTCTGGTGAAAAGCAACCTGGCTTTTCCGTGGCAGTCGAGTCTGATCAAAAATAAACCAGTCGGCCCCGTTTCTGCCCTGGGATGGTGACCCACAGTGCTGCAGCAGGAGGGCTTACCTGCCAGCAGAGCTCGACTCCGGAGAGATGCACCTGCAGCTGGCAGCCTGCTCTTGGCTCCAGCCTGCTCGCTGCTGCTAATTTCATGCCCCGTGCTCCAGGTAACGCTCCGGTGCTTCAGCCGCCACCATGGGCCTGGATTGCTTTTCCAGCTGCTGAGTCTGGGCTGGAGCAGAACAAAAACTGCTTTGCAAAAGCATCTTGGCAGCGCTTGGCCGACACGAGTGACTAATTTGCCGGTACAATGCTTTGTTCTTATTTGGGTTTTTTTAAGGTACTCAGGGCACAGTGTGCGTCGTGGCAGCGTGTTTGAAGGTGCTGTAGTTAATATAGGGTCAAACAACTCCATTATGTGCCTCGGCTCCATGGCTGAGGGATGACACCTTCCTCTGCGAGAGGCAGAGGTGGGAGGAAGGCAGCTTGGGGCGGGGAGGAAGATGTCAGGTTTGCTTTGGGGATTATTCTTATTATTTATTATTAGGCAGGAAAGGGGTGATGGTCTTTCAGTGCTTGTGTTTCTCCTCTAAAACTTTATTGGCGAGAGGGAGCTCAGCCCTTGCGAGCAAGGGATGCCCAGAGGAGATGAGCCAGCCAGTCAGGGAGGGCTCAGCAGAAAGGGAGAAGAACTAGGTGTGTCTTGCATAGCCCAAAATTTGCTCTGAAAGCATGACTGTGGTGGCTAGAAATACCCACATAGGGAGAAGACTTAACGTCTGAGCTGGATTAGCACCTAACAAGCAGGAGCAAAGAGGTGAGATGAGTATGGAGCGTGGTTCTTTTCATCAGTCCAGGCGTGGATTAAATTTGCTACCCGCCATTCTGCTGCCGCATTAAAAATGTGATGTGAGGGCTTTCCTTTTTCACAGGAATGACAGCAAGTGAAACCCTTCTACTTGGCTTTTCTTTTCCAGCAGGGTTTGGCCGTGGATAAGGCAGGGTAAAATTGTGCAGTGCAGGCTCCTCATTTTCTTAAATACTTTTCCCAATTCTCCTCCTGCCACTGGTGTGAGGACGTTTGCTGGGAATGAATGAATGTTTCCCCGGGGTGCTTGAAATGCAGCATCTTTGCTGGGTTACTTCAAGTACACTTCTGCTTGGTGGAAAGCGTTATAAAGTCTTTTTTCCTCCCCAGAAGAAAATTAACTTGGAAGTATATTAAATATCCCCAGGCTGGTTTGGGGGTTTAATTTAAGTAGATTGGCAAATAAGTCTTAGTTTTAGCAGCCAGCTTTGCATTTTGCTTCGTCTTTTCTCCTATAATTCATCGTATGGCCACAAAGCTTTGAGCCTCCTGCTTGACCAAGCTGATGCCGTAAGTGGAGGCTTTTATGTCTCTGTCTATATGGACCCTCTAGGAATGATTATTAGATTTCCCATTGCTTATAGTAAAACTTCTGATAAGGAAGAATAAATGAACATGCTTGTAAACTGATTAAAAGACTATGATGCAAAGCTGAAAAAAAAAAAACCAAAGTAACACGCAGGGAAAACGTGCCAAGTGCCTTCTCCTACTCAGATGCGACGGTGCCCTGTCTCTGTAGCTAGGTAACTGCAGAAAATGAAAGCCCATTGCGATGGGGGTGGATATGTAGGTCATCCTCTTTGCAAGTATTGTCCTACCTGCTGTCTGAGATTCCCACAGAAAAAACAGAGGATTAAGCGCCTTGAGGGGAGGAGATGGAACAGACACACTTTAACAGCATAATACATAAAATGGATTGAAAGTGTAAGCGTTTGGCTGCAATCTTGGCAGAGAAATCTCGCTCTCTCTGCTGTGGTTATTGCTTTCTGCGTGCCCAGCCTGACCTCAGTGCGTGGTGGGCTGGAGATTATTGACTGATGCTGCAGCTGACTTGCTCAGATGATATATGAGTCCCTGGAGTAAATGTGTGTTGAGTCTCAACATAGTTTCTCAAAAGAGTTTCGTGCACGCAGCGAGGAAGACTGGGAGGGAGAATAATGTCCCTGTGTCCCCAGCCACACTACTCTTGCTCAAGTGTGTTCTCACGCGTGGTGTCCTGATCGCTTTGTGTAGAGAGGGGTGCACAGGTTGGGCTTTCGAGACAGTTGGCTTATAATAGTAATGCTTTTGTGTCCCAGTTTGTAAAAACAAACAAACAAACCAGCCCTCACAGAGCTCAAGTGTGATGAAATGTTCAGGGGGTTTGTCCAGGATGCTGGAGCCAGCAGGAGAAACTCAGACCTCCTGATTTCGGGTGCTGCACCGTGGGGCCAGCACGGCAGTAAGGCAGGTATTTCCTTCACCACTTTTGCTTCTGAATTTGTTACATCCCTAATTTCCTGAAATATCCCAGGGCTGTTGCAGAACGAGACAGCCTCGGGGCGGTTTCCTTCACCCATTCCCTTTGCCTGTCATCCTGAGTAGCTTTGCAACACGTGGTACGATGCAACGAGTTGAATGCCTATAGCATAACTCGACATGCGTGCTATATTGTGCTGTATTTAGGGCCTGAAATACATGTGTTGTTTCTCCCTAGCTTTTTTCTTGTTTTATTTTTTTCCTGGCAGGACTTCTTTGAGAGTTACATTTCCATTGCTTCGACTGTGCCCTCAGTGCTGTGCCTGATCGGAAACTTCATGCTCATCAACAAGTAAGTGCTGCTCCATTCCCACGTCCATTGACCGTGGCTCTCCCTGTCTTTGCCCATGTCGCTCCTGCCTTTCTCCAGCTTCAGTTGTGACTTCCAGCTCAGCCTCCCCTTCCCATGGGGAGAAGCCACAGCGCACAAGGGCGTTGCGAGCGCAGCCTCCCTGTGCAGCCAAAATCCCCTTGTCTGCCCCTGCCTGAATTGCAGCCAACTGAGATGAAGCAGGGTGAACCACCCTGCTCCCTGCCAACAACACCCGTGCTTGGAGTTGGCTTGAATTGCACCGCTGTAAATAAGTTCCTAATGAATTCATTGGTTAATTGCTTGGCAAATGGTCTGTCCTCTTAAAAATGCCATTGTTGTCACCAGGGGACTGGCTGACGAGAGCTGGGCTCATCCAGGCAGGAGTAATGCCTTGCTCTAGTCCTGTCGGCCATTGAACTGGGTTAAGAAATGGAGCATCTGTGCCTTGGTGCAAGCTTTACTTAAACCTATGATAGCTGCATCCCTTCGTTTGTACCCTTCCTTATACCAGATCAAACTCCTGTGGTGTGTTTGCAGGTGAAGAGGAATGTGTTTGTGTGCTTAATCTCTAGATCCCGGCTGCTGGCCCAGCTCCCCGCCGCTCTCCCTTGCCCCTCCATCCTGCCCCCAGGCCAGCCCAGCCAGTCTCCTGGCTGGGTAATAAGCAGCCTCTGTGCTCAAACGAGTTGTCTTGCAGTGACGTGCCTGGGATTGCTTTCACCCAGCCTGCTGCGTTTCCCAGGCAGGCTTTATTGCTGTACGTTGCTCCAGCGGTGAGGGTAGCTCCTGATTTCTGGGAGAAATGGGTATTTAGAGCTCACTTGGGCTTGTAGACTTCATGAGTCCTACTGACGGTAAAAGTGGAAATCGCAGAGTTGACCTCCAAAGACTCCTGAGAATAATTGTTACTTTTTATTTCTCATCTTCTCCTGCCTTTTTTTTTTCTTTTTTCTTTTCTTGATTCTTCTCGCAGCAGAGTATTTGATGCCTTCACATTATAATTTTAAACACAGGAGTCTCTCCTTCCCCTTCTCCCCAGGGTGCCTGCCAGCACCCGGATCCTGTCCTCCCTCTTCATCATGCTGGCTGTCTTCCTGGTGATCACGGTGCTGGTGAAGGTTGACACCTCCACCTGGACCACCCAATTCTTTGCCCTCACCATCGGCTGCGTGGTCATAGTCAGCAGCGCCTCGACCATCTTCACCAGCAGCATCTTCGGTCTGAGCAGCCGCTTCCCCATGAAGAACCTGCAGGCACTGATCTCAGGTTGGTGTTCCCCAGCTGCATGATGCCGGTGGGATCACGCTCTCGGGTTTGCTGTGGTTGGGTGGTTGGTTTTCTTTCCCTCCTGCATCTGGCATTTCATCACATGGGGTTTATTTTAGAACTTTAACTTTGCCTTAAAGGGAAGTTGCTTGAGGGAGAAACATGCTCAGTCACATGAGCCAACGCTCTTGTTTCTGTAAAACCCATAAACCAAAGTGCTGAGGGCTCAGCAGAGACAAGGAAAGCAGCAATCCTTCACCATCCCTGCCCGGGGTGGGGCAAACACCCTGTAGAGCAACTCTAGCTAGCCTGATGGCTTGACCTGGTTATTTGTCCTGTGCAGGGAGAAACTGGGAAGGGAGAAGGAGGTAAGTCCCTTAGCTCCCCTGTTTACAGCTGGAGGAATCTTCAGCTTTGCATTTTCTCTTTTCTGTTCAGCATTTCCATGCATTTCCATGAGTGATGAGGGGCATGTTGGGAGCTGTGAGTGATGAGCTCCCTGGAGGTTTGATAACATTATAAATGTGCTGTGGAACGGCTGACAAACCAAGAGGGGAAGGTGGGGGAAAAATCAAGACAGAGAAATGTTTCCCGGGGCAGAGACAGGAGTGTTTTAATGAGTTTAGCCCAGTGGGGGAGATCACCATATCCCTGAGAAGGCATACCTGTTGGTGGTAGCTTGAATTCCCATCTGGTGGAGTGCAGAGGAGAGGCAGTTATATGTGTGCCAGTGGAAAGCCAGATTTAGGGTTTGGGCAGGGTTTGGACCTTCTCTGCAGGACTTAGCACATGCAAGCCCAGCGGGCTGAGTCCCATCCTGCCCCTTGTGCAGTGCGGCAGCTGCGTTGGAGTGTTTGCAGGATGGGGCCTGAGCTGTGAGGCATCCCCACAAACAGCTGTGTTGCAGCGAGACATGGAGATGGAGATGAGGTGGTGTGTGCAGCTGCACCCTGAGCTGGGTTTGGTGACCAGTGCGTGGGGCAGGCGGGTGAGCTGCTTCCCCTGGGGGGTTTGTGCACACCGGGAGGTGTTAATAAGAGGACGGTGCTGTTTCTGGGTTCCTACTCTGAAAGTCTGGAGGTGCTGTGAGTTGGTCCCTGCCACCTCGATGTCTCTCAGCTGCACGCATCTTGGTCAGGCTGGCTCAGCCCTGGGTGCTGAGCTCCAGCTCTCTGGTCCCCTGCACAGGTCAGGCCATGGGCGGCACGATCAGCGCCGTCGCCTCTGTGATAGACCTGGCGGCAGCGGCCGAGGTTACGGACAGCGCCCTGGCCTACTTCCTCACCGCCGACATCTTCATTGTCATCTGCATCATGGTGTACCTCCTCCTTCCCAGGCTGGAGTACTCCAGGTGTGTGCACCAGCCTGCCATGGGCATCCGCAAGCATGGGTCGGGAGGGTCTGCTTCTGCCAATGCTGAGCGGGCTTGCTGGGGGACCCCATGAGATGTTTGCTTTGCCAGTCCCTGCCCCGTCACCCCCCCAGCATCACACCCCACACCCCACGTGCACTGGCTTTGGGGCTGTGCTGCCGCCAGCCGCGCTTCCCCATTTGACCGAAACCACAGACAGAAACTGGGCGCCCGCCCCGGCGTGTGAGGAGAGTCTGGCAAGCTTCCCCGGGGAAGGAGGGGTGCTGACACAGGGGCTTCTCAAATGCCTGAAGTCAGCAGCGAGCAGTAATCTGGAAGCAGGCAGCCAGGTGGGTCCCCACAGGGCGTCTCTATCCGCAGTGTCATGCACTGATGTGCGTGACCCGTTGGTGGTCTTAGTGCTTGCAACCGCCAAAAACACCCGACCCCCCCAAATGCCTGCATGCAGTAGCCCCCCGCCATGAACCACTGAAGGTGTAAAGGGATCCCTGCGGTGGGGAGGAGGGGGTGGTGGGTCTCTGAGGGTCACCTCTCCATACGAGGCGGGACCTGGAGGTGCGATGGGGTTACTGAAGTGCCTTTGCTGGGTCCAGCAGATATCCCTGCATTGCCAACTTCTCTTCTGCTCTCCCTCCCAATCTCAGTTTGGGTTCCCACACACACACGCTTGGCTAATAATCCCCCTCCTTCTCTTTTTCCAGGTATTACATGAGCAGCCAGAAGGAGAGCCCGTCTCTGGCCGGTGTGCCACCTGACAGCTTCATGGAGGATGAGGCAGAGCCAGGAGGCACCACAAATACCTCCTTCCTCGCAAAAAGCACTGGCGTCCCCCCACTCCGCCCCATCCTGCAGAAGACCGCCCTCCTCGGTTTCTGCCTCTTTTACGTCTTCTTCATCTCCATCATCATCTTCCCTTCTCTCTCCTCCAACATTGAGTCAGTCAGCAAGTCCTCGGGAAGCTTGTGGAGCACCAAGTACTTTGTGCCGCTCACCAGTTTCCTCCTGTACAACTTCGCCGACTGGTGCGGGAGGCAGATCACCGCCTGGATCCAGGTGCCCGGCCCCAAAAGCAAGCTGCTACCTGCCCTCGTCCTCCTCAGGACCATCTTCCTCCCTCTCTTCATCCTCAGCAACTACCAACCCCGGGCTCACATCCAGACGGTGGTCTTCAACACAGACATCTACCCGGTGGTCTTCACGACGCTGCTGGGGCTGAGCAATGGCTACCTGGGGACACTGGTCATCGTCTACGGCCCCAAGATTGTGCCGAAAGAGCTGGCCGAGGCGGCGGGGGTAGTGATGACATTTTACCTCATGCTGGGGCTGGCTGTGGGGTCCGCCTGCTCCGTTCTCGTTGTCCACCTTGTGTAGAGGAGCAGTTAGGGGGGACGCCCTCGGTTTGCAGTGTTGCTGTCAGGTATTTAGGCCTTTTTTTCCCAAGAAAGCCAGGCATGCCGCGGTTTTGGGGCAGGCTGCCTATCTTGGGTGGGGGGGCTGCATCCAGAGGGAGAGTCCTCCTTCTGGGAAGGGGTGTCCCCTGTGCCTAGGAGGTCCCGTTGGACCTTTTGGTACTCCCCAACTTGACTGGAAGAAATGGACCAAAAAAGCCTCATCCTCCCCAGGGAGCTCAGGGAAGTACTGGGGGCACAGGGCAACCTGTCCCTCACCCCAGTGCTGGTGGGAAAGGGAGGGTTGCTGGTGCTGCTGCAGTGGTTTTATACTGAAACTGGGGCTTTTGAAACCTTGGGTTTTGGTGCCTCTTTGTTAAGAGTTTACCCCTGCAGTGTTTTGGTGGTCTCAAGGGGATCTCCCCTCCTCAAGCTGCGAGGATGGGTGGTGTTGAGCTAGAAGGGATTTGAGCCCTGGAGCAGATTTCAGAAAGCTTCAGGAGTGGATAGCAGCTGTGCCAGGGAGCAGGGCACTGTTTCCAGGGGGGGGATTTCATACATTCATTCCATGAGAAAGCATATATACAGGAAACCTCTCCACTTGGACTTCGGCTTGCTTGAATTTTTCCAGATAAGATAGAATGAGGGATTATCTGGCCCCCAGCATGGTGTTGCTGCTGCCGGGGCTGTATATTGTGGCCAACCTGAGACCGTTTATCCTGTGTGACCCCAGTGTGATGGTAGTGGACACCAACTTACCTGTCTGCAGCTGAACCTCAAGGGAGGCGAAATGCTAAGTGAACCTAACCTAGGGTTTTTAAGGTGCCTTTATTCTGCAATGAGAAAGGTCTATAAAAGCCAGGGAGAGGTATTAGAGAGGCTCTGATGTGACATTCACAGCAGAAAGCCGATTAATTTAGGTAGGAAGCATATGGTCTACAGATGCTTTCAGAGGGGTGAGCTACTGCGACACCCAAAAAGATGGCCCACCCAAAGGGGACCAGCTTTTAAACTTCCATATGCAAATGCAGCCTGGACTAAATATGCTTATTATATTTATTTACTCAAACTGGGTGGATTTATGGTCTAGGAGGGGTGGACTGGTAAGGAAGGAGGTAATGGCAGAACTTGGCATTACAGCAGATGCTTCAGGGATGCTGTCTAGGGTGTTATCTGTGGAAAATACTTCCTTTACGACTGGATCATCAGTGGATGCTCTCAGCATCTCCTGCCTGACTGAGTAGCAGTGAAGCTGCTGGCTTGGGTCGCCAGGCCATCTCCTTGCTGGGCTGGAGGTGTTGGGTAGCGAGAGGGAGGATGCAGGCCTGGTGCCTTGCTGCCCACAGCTGTCCTGGCTTTGTCGGGAGAGCAGCAGCATCGACAGTGGTTATTGCCATGGAATCACATGTAGGCTTGGTGGGTGTTGTTTTTTTATATAAATCCTTTCCAGTGTTTGGTTTGGGCTTGTTGGCAATACACACAGAGTTTTGCTTTATGGCTGATTTTTATTTAAACATAAAATCCAGACATGAGTGAAAAATTTACAGGGTGTGCAGTACCGAGGAGCAGCTTTACAGTACATGATTTTGCACGTGTGGGCTCTTAGTCCTGTCGTGTCGGTAGGTTTGCAGCCCCCCAGCCCCTGACACTTGGCAAGGGGCCGCTTTGGCCAGCGTTGACCCAAGTTGAGGTCCACCTCAGCTTGAAGGGCGGTCCAAGGGCTGAGGGTAGCAGTGCCTCCTGGCTGTCTGGGTGCGGCTCATGGGGGTAAGCACTCCCATCACCTCCTCTGAAAAACCCGAGCCAACCTTGTGTTGGCACCCAAAACATCCCTTTGTGGCCTTCAGTGCTTCCCACCTGGGAGCCTGCCACGTAGTCTGCTCTCCTCGACTCATACATTTCCTCCAGTCCCAGGTTTGATGAGATTCTGCTCGTTTGCTGACTGCTCCGTCATGTTACAGACCAAATACCTCTTGAGACAGAACTTAATTATCCGGTACCGTTGCTAATAAAGTTAATTCTTGATGCTGTGCAACTGCTGGTGTCTGGACTGATTTTGCTTGGAGATGCACAGATGCATGCACTTTTAGTTTGCATTTTTCCTTCTGGTCATCCTTCTCTCACAGCCTGGATTGTAAACTCAGAGAAATCACTGACAAGGGCCAGGTGAAGGAGCCCTGAGAGAATTGTTTTGAGAGCCCAGTTATTCTAATTTAATATCTCCAAATGACCTGCAGGTAGGTGTGGAGAGTGTACTTATTGCATCTGCAGTGGAAGTGGGCAAAAAGGGAATTTATCCTTTGTCTTTCATGGTATTCGGCTAAGGAAAGTCAGGGAAACGAGGGGAAAAATCAATGCAAGTTCAAACTGGTCAAGAATTGGGTCTGAGTGTAAAGCAGGGGACTGCTGGTGGGAGCATCATGGCATGAGGGATGGATGCTGACAGGCAGCCTGAGGCTTGAGCGTGTGGGTGATCCCCCTGCAAAAGGGGACGGGTAATTTATAGAGTGCCGTGTAAAACGGCAGGGAAGTAATTACTGCTGTAGACTGCCGGGGCGAAGTCGCGTCTGATGCTCTGCGTAGGCTGTATCGAAGAGCTCACGCTAAGAAAATGCAGAATGACAAGGGAAATGGTGGTGGCAAGGCAGAACGAAGGATGCTGTACCTCAGATGCGTTAGTCGAAATGAAACCAGAGTTTCTTTCTGGATGGTTTTAAATGATGTGTCTTTGATAAGGAAAGCAGCCGTCTACCCCGGTTTCCAGTTCAGGAATGCTGCGTGCTCTCTGCTCTACACGAGCATCAGGGTGAGACAGCGAGCTGGAGTTCTGCAGGGGACAAAATCCTACTTCATGGTATTTAGCTAGGAGTTTGCACTTTCTTCTTCTAGGTCTCAATGAACTCTGCAACGAGGAGTTGCTCCCCAGGTCTTTATTTGGACCCGGGGCATCCAAGGTCCATAGGAAGATCTCGATTGTGGGCAGAGCTGGGAGCTGAGCTGGCTCCGTGCGTCTTCCTCGCCTGTCCGAAACAGCATTGCCAGATTTTTATCTCTTTAATTAACACTGTCCTCTCAGCTGCTTGAGACGAGCAGGGCTGTAAATGCTTTCACCATCTTTCAGCCAAGGAAAGTGGGTTGTGAGCTGGCTGGCAGGGGAAGAACCGTGTGCTCTCTGCAGAGCTTGGCCTCATCTCACCGGAGGCTAGAAAATGAGCAACGCAGGCACTTGCAAAATTCATGAGGGTGGGCCCACGATGTGAAACTAAATCAAAGATGGGCATGAATCCCTGTGTGGTGCCAAGAGTCAAAGCCACCATGTGCCCAGCACTCAAGGCCAGCATCACTGGCAAAATGACCTGGAGGAAGGAGAGCCCCCGCGCTCCCCCAGCTCTGTGGAGGGCTGGCAGCCCAGCATGGTCAGGATGCTGAGCCTGCCCCACGCTGGCTTCTCCAATGGCCTTTGGTGTTAAATCCAGCTGGCTGAGGGGAGATGAAAGCTGTGAACCGGCAAAGCAACACCAGCAAGATGGGAGAGCGCAGGGAGCAGGAGGGGGTTGGATGAAAGGGCAGAAAGTGGAGGAGATGCATCTGTTGCAGCTTCTGCTCAAAGAAGAACTGAGTCTGTGCCTGACCTTTGTTTGTCTGTCCTCTCTCTCAGCTTGGTGGTGCCAGCTACTCCTGCTTGTTTCCAACCTGGACCCTTTACGTGTAAGTGTTGGGGGTTTTAAGCAAATGCGCTCTAGGAGGAAAGGAAACTATGGTGATGGAGTGATACACATCTGCCATCAGTTGCAAGTGACTGCCCCTCTTTCTCTCTGATCTCCAAAGCCTTGTCTAACCTGTCCCCACTTGGTAGAGTGTCCCACAGGGTAGAAATGCTGCCACCTCTCCATCTGTGATACCAGCCTTTGCGTTACAGAGGCTTTGGGGCAGCACAATTACCCTTTAGGAGATGGAAGTGTATTTGAAACAACCTTGCTGTCCTTCAGCATTGCCTTGGTGGTGACCAAAGAGAGCTCTGCTGCCTCTCAGCTGCTCCACTGCGTGCATTTTGGGGCAGGACTCAGCCTTTCAGTGTTTTGCCAGGATGCACTGCGGGTCAAAAGCCTGGACAGCTGAAGTGGGATTCCTGTTGGTGGCTTGGCTGTGGGAGTGGGGGCTGCAAGGGTGATGGTGCCCAGTACCCAGCTGGGTGTCCGCCTGGCAGCACACAGCGTCCTGGTGTGTCAGCATCCGTGCTTGTCCCCAGCATCCTGATGAAGCTCCTAATGAGCTCTGGCAGGCCCCACAGGCAGCCAGGGTCCAGCATGTATGACCTTGCTGTTAATTACTGCCCTGTGGCAGCTTCATTTGTATCGGCAGCGAGGTCCCTGGCCAGCACCCTGTTCTGTTTGGCCCCACCACACCATGGACGGGGTGATGCTCTCTGACACCTGCCCCGCCAAAACGCTGCCATCTCCCTCTCCACAGCCATGGAAAGGTTATTTTCAAGGTATTTTAGCTCTTGGCCCTTTTTCCCCTTCCCACATGCTTGCATGTGTGGGGTTGAAGCTTGCCAACCTCTGCAGCTTTGCGGCGAGCATCCTCCTGAAAAGAGGCACATGAGCCAAGGGATCGAAAGGCCGGTGGTCATCTGCTTTGGCAGGGGCTCGAGGAGGGCTGTGGTCCCCAGCAGACGAGCTGAGCTGGTTCTGCCCCTCTGCAGGCGCCCCAGAGGAAAAAACTCGGCTTTGAAACCTCGCCAGCCAGCTGCAGGCTTGCCCGGCTGCTGTTCTCCTTTTACATGTTTTATGGAGTAATTTGTACTATATTTACACGACGGTGATAAACAGTTTTTAAAATGGAAGCGAAGAAAACGCTATTGAATGAATTGTTATAAAAAAGCCCTGTTTGCCATTCCAGCAGGGGGAAAAAAAGGGATAAAAATCACCATCCTAGGGACATGCTGTTCGTCAGATCTGGGTATTTTTTCCCTTGATTTGT